TTTTTTTTTTTTTATTTACAAGTTTGTGCTTGTGGAAAGCCATACAGAATAGCTTGAATCCTTGATCTGGACGATACTTTTCTGGTCTATTGAGATTCAAGCATTAATTTCTTCATTTTGCAGGACAAAGCCTTTCTGGTATTGTTGGAAGTCCTGCTTATGTTGCTCCTGAGGTTTTGGTTGGCAATTACTCAGAGAAAGTGGATATCTGGAGTGCCGGTGTACTTCTACATGCTCTTTTGGTCGGTGTCCTTCCATTTCAAGGCGATTCTTTGGAAACTGTGTTTGAAGCTATAAAGAAAGAGAAGCTAGATTTTGCTGGTGGCGTTTGGGAATCTGTATCACAGCCAGCTCGTGACCTGCTTTCTAAAATGCTGACAAGAAATACATCCGCAAGGTTTACTGCAAATGAAGTTTTACGTAGGTTATCTTTATCCTACATCTAACCTATAACCTATATCTGCTTAGTAATGGATGTCCTGTTGTAGATTGTGGCAAAAAATATTTTGGTTGAGAGATTGTGTGTGGGCATCAAGGCATTATCTTCTGATGTTAAAAAATGTGAAATGTTCTTCCAAAAAATTTCAAATGGGCCCTGCTTTTTTTTTTTAAATGAAAAGTTTGATGAAATGTCATCTATTTGCTTTGAAAGTCTACAACTTACTTTGTTCAGATGGAATAATTACAAATACTATCGTTGAAGTTTTCACCTAATGAAAAGAAAAAATAGTGTTCTTTCTCAAATTACCTCTCAACAAAAGTTTTCATTTACATATTACAGATATATCCAAACAGGAGGGTTTATTTATAGTTTTAAAAGATAGCTGGACCTTTCTGTAATTAACCTAAATAATGGGGTCTGGTTTTGTACTTGTGTCTGCTTACCTTGAAAAAGAATTAGAGCCTTAGCTTCTAAGGGCTTGGAAGTACGAATTGTTTAAAGGTTGCCATATTTTGATTTTGTTCTTCTCTGAATCGAATCAAGTAAATACACATGTTTGTTCTCTGGGACCATTGTGCTGTTGACTTCTTTTTCAACCTTCAGTTAAATGAATTTTGTAATTTCTGTTTCTTCCCCAGGTCATCCATGGATTTCATTCTACACTGACCATACACTAAAGACCCTGATTCCTGAACCAAACAGGAGCCGCTTAAGATTGTCTTCAAGACAGCTGACTTCAAATCACGGTCCAGAGTCTGAGAGAAAGAGATCAATAACCCATAACAGTCTCAGTGATGGCTCTTGCTCAAATATAGTTTCGGGCTGTTCAGTTGAAGTAGTGGAGGACGATGATGGTGGTTTGGTTGATGTATTAGCTGTGGCTATCTCGCGTGTCAGAATATCTGAGCCAAAGAGGAGCAGGATTTGCAGCCCATCAAGGCCCATTGAACAAGAATGTTCCTCTAACTTGAAGAGTAGCAACCTCTGTACAGCATTTTGACCCCGATGTGCAATTGGCCAGCATCATCGGTTTCTAAACTATAGCTCTACTTATCATAACTTTATGCTGTGTTGGAGCCTAACAAGACAGGGTGATGAGGACTAACTTCTCGTGTACATAGTGCGTTTAGGCTTTAACACTATAAATAAGGTGGTCTCCTTGGGATGCCGTTGGACTCTTGATGTAACTTTCTTAGGCCTTTCGTGTTTAACCTTTTAACAATGATCTATGATTATGTAGAGAGAGAGAGAGAGATTTGTGTAAATAAACTGTGTTTATTGGATGATTTTGAGCATTTGATTCAGGTGTAATGTACTTATGTTGCCTTTAATCTCTCTGTGTGTGTGTGTGTGATGTTAAGACTGGTGAAACTATAATCTTCGTATTTGTAAAAGTGAAGTATTGCAGTGTATCTTAAGATTAGTTTGCAGATATTTATATGATTTTGCTTGTGTAGGCTGCAGATGCAGGCAGATTGTGGGGTTTGACTTTTACATGCGTGTTGATCTGGCATCCTAGTTACTCAAACGCCTTTTAAAATGCTAGGTTTTAGGGGTAGATATGTTTGGAAAACGTAAACTTGTGTAGTAGTATTATTAGATTGTCCATATATAGCATGTAGAGTTGTATTATATCATGGAATTGTCGATTTTTCAACCCAAATAATCTGCACTGAGTCACCTCCAACCCCGGGACTGCGTTTCCAGCTCCTTAAGTTAACACATGTTCTCTTTTCCCTATCTAGAGATGAGTGACCACATTGAAATCTCCCCATCCATTGCTAAGATCCCAATGTCAACCAAATAACATCCCTACTTCTTCAATCTGATCACCTCTAAACTCCAACTTATCACATCCAAGCAAGCCAACATGGAGAAACCATCTTCGGAGCTAGACCAGGCCTTGAACCCCACCCGAGCCTACCCTCGAAGATCTAACAAAAACGTCTCTCTCTGCTCCCCCAAACTCCCGACCTACCTCCTAACCGTCTTCGTCGTCCTCTTCATTCTCTTCCAAATCCACTCCCTCCAAACTTCCGCATGGGCGCCTCTCACGGAGAAATGGGAGAAAATCCACTCGTGCCTCCCGACTCTCCATAGTGAGGCAGAAGACCTGAAATCCACGATCTCGAGACTCCGTCAGTCGGTCACCTTCCTCCCCCTCAAGGACCTCCGCTTCTCGGATGTCCCCATGAGAGGGCACACATGGTTCATGAGCTCCTTGTACGACACGCATGAGCAGGGCGAGGTTCAATACCAGCAGTTCCCGTCTGAGTCCTCCGGAGGCAGGATCCTCTGCCTCCGAGGCCGGGACTTCCACGACGGGTCGTGGAACTCGTACGCGCTTGCCTGGCCGGAGGCGCTGCCGGAGAACGCGACCCTGTTGCGTGGCCTCACGTTCATCAACAACAACCACTACGACTACCACAACATATGGCACGGGCTGTCGGCCATGATGCCGTTTGTGGCTTGGCACGCCAGGAACCAGTGTAGGGCCCCCGAGAGATGGATCTTGTTCCATTGGGGGGAGTTGCGGAAGAGCATGGCCCCGTGGGTGAGGACCATGTTGGAGGCCGTGTTCGGAAGGCCGCTCGATATCGAGACGTTCGAGGAAAGTGGGCCCGGGCCCACCAGCTGCTTTGAGGGGGCGGTAGTGATGAGGCACAACGAGGGGGGGATGTCGAGGGAGAGAAGGATGGAGACATATGATCTCATGAGGTGCAAGTCGAGGATGTACTGTGGGTTGGGGCCTAAGGAGGAGGATAAAGGACTGCGGATCGGGATGACGATGTTGATGAGGGATGGGGCCCGCTCGTTCAGGAACGCGTCCGCGGTGGTCCGGATATTTGAGAGGGAGTGCCGAAAGGTGAGTGGGTGCCGCCTTACGGTGTCTTACCCGCACAACCTCACGTTTTGCGAGCAGGTAACGATAACATAATATCTAAAACCGGCAAATTTAAACCCCCATGTGACTAAATGTCTAAAGCTGACACCGACACAGGTGAAGTTGATGAGTGGAACGGACATCGTGATATCGGCACACGGGGCCCAGTTATCGAACATGATCCTCATGGACCAGGAAAGCAGCGTCATGGAGCTATTCCCCAAGGGGTGGCGCGAGCTGGCAGGGGTGGGCCAGTACGTCCACCACTGGCTCGCCAGCTGGTCAGGGATGCGCCACGAGGGCGCATGGCGGGACCCACTGGGGGACCCCTGCCCCTATCCGGAAGATGACCGCCGCTGCATGTCTGTCTTCAAGAACGGCCGCATAGGATACAACGAGACCTACTTCTCGGAATGGGCCAGCCGTGTTTTGAACCAGACAAGTCAGAGGAAGAAAGCCCTCATCATGAATAATGTGTCAGCTAATAATCCTGTTAAAGGACTCTGTGGGTGCAGCTGATATGCTTAACTGACTCTATTACTGATTATTAAAAGTTTTCAACTTAGTTTCTTAAACAGGGGAGTATCTGCGAGACTAATCCTATTTATATATGAGTTCAAAAGGAAGTCTGTAATTTTGAAAGTTACATTCGTAGCCAACTTGCCAAGCTAATTCTACATGTAATGCCACCAGTAATCAAGAATCTATGTGATATCATCTCTCTTCGAAATGTTAAACACAACTATAATGGCGTGGCAAATCGTTTAACTATGTCGTGTTTCGTTTTGACAGTACACGATCACACTCGACGCCAGCACAACAATTCTTGTGTCTACACAAATGCTACGATTTGACATGATAAGACAAAAAGAGTAAGTGAAAAAGAAATGATATTGTTTATTGTTAGAATATCACTTATGAGTAGTCCCACATCGTTTGTAAAGAAAAAATAGACCTAATTTATGGGAGTTTGTTTTTAGTAGGGTTTGGGCAGTCAACTCCGTATATGAGCTTGGGCTTTCTTATTAAGGACTCACAAACAAGGAGTCGTGTTAGAATATTTGTTTTCACTTTTTTTTTTTTTTCCTCATAAAAAAAACAACACACTGTTTCTTGGCTTACTGATGAATTAAAACTAGAAATTCTCAAAGTATTACGCTCAACAATAGCAAGATCTTCTGTAGTGTACAGTCAGAAAACTATGATACTAACAAGTGTTTGGAATAAGTGAGAAATGGAAAGGAAACATATGAACATTATGAAACCCAAAAAGTCAATGTAAAATTCAATGTACATTATGAAACTTTAGGAGATATTATAAGAATTAAATATGGAGAAAAAAAAAAAAAAAAATTCCATGGTTAAGTTGTAGCCAATTGGTTCTAAAATCTGAAAGAACAAGTACCTATAGGCTATAGCCAAGTGGACAACTATTCAGGAGGCCTTGGCAATTAATGCAATACATTGGTTGCCAAATATAATTTTGGGTTAATCACTTAAATGGACCTTTAAAGTATGATGTGGACTGTGGAGAAAAAAAGCCCACTAGGCACTAGCTATGTGATCACATAACATATCCTTCAAATTTGACCCACATTGTTGGATGATATGATGGAATTTGTTTATATGTCAAATATTTTGTAATTACATTCTTGATATTTCTAATTTTTTTTTTGGCCAAAACGATAGGATATATTATAAATCAAAATGCACAAATGTGCAAATACACAGCAGTCAACGACTGAAAACATGGGAGGACAGGTCAGAAGATCGCCTAGAATCTCGACTAGCAACGCTAGAATTAAAATAATCACAACTAAACTGACCTACTACACAAGCAACTAAAACAACTAAAAAAAAAACGAACTACCTAAAAAACTCTTGCTTTAACATAATTTTTAATAGTAAATTAGTAATACATTAATATCTATACTATCTTACTAGTACGTGGCCCGTGCTATGCACGCGAAAATAATATTAATGATTGTACTATAAATTAGATATATAAATAACATTAATAATAATTTACCAATTTTTTTAAAAATAGGACCGGGCTGGATAGTCTGACCAGATGGATCGCAAACTGGTTTATCGACCAGTCTAGTTCACTTGAATAAAATATTTGCTAGCAAACCAGTCACACCAGCCAGTCGGACTGGGAAAATCATACGATTTTTTAAATAAAATTTGTTTCAATTAAAATTTATTTTAATAAAAATATATATTTAAATAAAACATAGATTTATAAATTATTTATTAATTATTTTGAAAATTGGAAAATTTAGTAATTTTCAAATATTTAATTGATATTATTTATATAAGTTTATTACAAAAAAGTACTATATGTAATTTAAATATTATTAAATTAAATTTTGACGCAACCAATAAGTCAATGAATAAATAACTCGATCAATTTGAAGATGACAATTTTTTAAAACTATAGATTTACCGTGCATTGATAAAGATGTAATGCAACATCATTTTGTTCACATAAATTTTAACAAAATAATATATAAATGTTCATATTAAAATTATATTTAGATTAAATAATCGATTTGGTATGTCCAAACTGACCCATAGCTTGATCAGGTGAGACCAACCTCAATCGTGTTGAGTTTTTAGACTATTTCAAACTTAAACTAAAAGTAATTCAATCAACCTTAATAGTAACCTAATTCAGTCACCTGATTGATCCAACAAAGTTTTCTTAAATATATTTCAATTTATGAAATCAAAATTTTTTTATGATTTATGTAGTAAATGTGTATAACAAATTACATTATATTAAGATTATGTATTACATATAAAGATAAATTATTATTTTTTACTTTATGCATATTTATAAAAAAAACAAATATAATAATTTTTAAAAATTTTGAAATTAATTGACTGATTATGAAGTTGTTACGATAACTCGACACCATAGATATTTTGCATATCAATTACCTTGTTGTAAACATAATATTTTATTAGCTTACATATGCTTATATTCAATTTTCGAAAAATTAGCATTTATCATTACTTAACTCCTAATTATTATGCAAGTGTGACAATAATATTTGGGCATTAGTAAGTAACCAAATTGACTACAAAACCTAATCCCCAAATCCCTCGAGCAGCACCGATTATTCCCGACGGCTCCGCCTTCCTCGGCGACGATTAAGACCGGCTAAGGGTCGTCCTCAACCTCTCTCTCCCCTCCTAGCGAAGTGCTCCTCTATTGCTGCCTCTGATGGTCCTTTGACGGCGCGCCTGCATCGCGGTTGCAGATGGAGTCCCGGAAGGCGGTGGTGCACCTCGAGGCCGGATTCAAACCTGCGCTTGGATTATTTCCAGTCTCCGTGGTGTCGAGATTGGTGACGGTATGCCCTGCTCTCTATCCTCTGTCTGTTGTTGTTGATGTCGGATTTGGCTGGTTCTGGTGGTGCTTTCTATCGGGGCCGAGCCGCTTGTCGTGGGATATCCGTGGTGATGACTGGTGGAGTGCGTGTCTGGGATTGGGGAGAGGCTCTGGTTACCGCGACGTTCCTTGTCGCAGCGGTTGGAGAGAGGGCCGTTTTTCTCTTGCTCAATCCCCGTTAGTCTAGTGGTGTTAGGTGGCGGGGAGGTCCTATCGGCCTCGTCTAGTGGTTTTAGAAGAGATCGATTGGAATCATTGTGGGGTGGTCTTCGGCTTTCTAAGTTGTCGATGGGTCGATTCGGGGACTGGTTCGGTGTCGGTTTCTGCTATTGTATAGGCTTGATTGCAGTTTTGGTAGCAGATTCTTGGCTTGGATTGATCTTGTATCGATCGTTCACTGCTGGTTCGGGCTTTCTCGGTCGCAGGAGAAGGGCTTGTGTTTGTGTTATTTTTATTTTATTTTTTGTTGTCTTGTGTTGTAGGATTGTGTTTTGGTTTGAGTATGTGTTTGTGTTATTTTTAGACTTGTTTTTTAGGTTTGGGCCGTTGGCCCCTGTTCTGATTCCCCCGTGGAGGGGCGTATATATTCTCCTGTGGGGAGCGTTCTTAGTTGGTGCGTTGATGTTGTTTTTTGTTTTGCGTCGTGTGTTTCTATTCTAGTGTGACTAGCGAGGCTCTAGGCGGTCGTTCAATCCGTCCTGGCGGGAGCAGTTTATTTTAAGTTTTTCTTTGCATTTTAGGAGTTGTAGGGTATTAATTTATGTTCTTCACACATTATACGTTTTTTTATCAAGTATTTTATGAACTTTCACAACCAAAGCTTGTTTCCAAGCATCAATTCGTGTCAAAATCGTGTTCTTTAATCCGTTTTTGATACGAAGTTCGATACTCGATACACGATTCGTAACATTGGTGCTTTCATTGAGAGTTACTAATCGTGTATCGTGGCAACTAATCGAGAGAGGATGGATCATATGGAGGAGATCATGCGTGCAATGAGAGAAGAAATTCACTCCACGAATCAAACGATGGCAAGACTCGAGAGGATGATGCTCCAAACTGTTGGACAACGGGCTAGGAGGGGTAACCATTTGGATCATCTTGAAGGGTCAACCGAATCTGAAGAGGGTCGCGAAAACCGGAACGAATTTCTAGAGGATGAAGATGTTCGTTCAAGGGGGTCAAACCACCGTGGAAGGCAAAGGGTCGAAAAACCTAAGTTAATGCTTCCGACATTTAATGGTATGGATCCTGATTCAAGGTTAAATCGTGCTTGTCAATACTTTGAAATTAATGAGACACCCAAGTCGGAAAGAGTGAAATATGCCGCTTATTATCTCGATAGAGGCGAATGTATGGTGGCAATGGCTATCGAGGGTTTACAAGAAGGAGGACAAACGGGTCATTAGAGGCTGCTAATCAATTCAACATAAAGCCTCTGTCTCTGCTATCTTCCTTCTAGCGCAGCGCCGCTATCCAACCTTAGCGCCACTAAGGGTCCTTAGCGGCGCTAACCCCTGGACAACTGCTATTTTTCTGCAGCTTCATTCTTGCTCGACGAGCCCGGTTGTACGCGTTCTTTAGCTGACGACCCTCATCCGCATCAGCCGCGCCCGACGCCAGCCTACCGCACGCCCGCGTGCTCACGGACTGCCGCCCGACATCGAGAGTGTCGCAACCCCAGCGTGCCCGTGCACATCCTTACTGCGAGCTCGTGAATTTCTTAGCTAGCTCGAGAGTGTCTTCTTAAATGTGTATTTTTCTAGTGTGTGTTTGGGGTAGGGTATAAATATTTTTGTTCCTTTGCACTATGGGGATCGACTACTCATTATTTCATTTTTTCTTTTTGGGAACTTAGCTTATGTTATGTTTTGCTCTCTAGATTAGGAGCTTATGCTATTTTCTGGGATATTTTCCGGCGATCTTGGTTTCTTTCAAGTTTCGAGCTTTTGACTCCATTTTTCATCGTCTACGCAATAGAAGGATGAGTGTTTAGTTTTAAAGCCCTTTACTTCAGATTTTGCTCCGTTTTTACTTATAATGTTTATTAGGGTAAATTTGGATTTGATTGATGATGGATGCAAAGTCGAGACTTGATTGCTTGTTGAGTAGATAGAAG